ACTGTCTGTTAACAACTTGGCAAGTGAATTAGTGGAAAATAAGAGTTTTTTTAAACCAATCACAATTTAGGAAATTGTAATTTTTATTATTATTATTATTGTTATAGGCTCTTTTGAACAATTCTTTTGACTAAATGCTGTGTTATTGTATTTGTGGTATCAAGAGAGACAGTGACTGATTTCAGTTCCCTCTTCAGGGTGTGCAATTAATTTTTTTTCTGATAGCCACTTGGCTCCTAAATTCTTCAAAATGGTAGCCAATTCAAGAAAAGTTGGTCTCCATTTTCCAAGACAACAAAACCATTTTTACGCTGTCAGCGTTCTAGACAGACCCTCAAAAATTAAGTTAGGGAAAAGATCTTCAACGTGCTACAAAGTGGACACTAGGATGGATGATATTCAATGTTCAGGCTCACCTAAATCCAAGATGGTATCTATTTATTGATAGAGATGCATGTGCTGCATTTTGGAAACAAACTTAACAAGGAAGTTTGCAGTGGATTTATAATTTTAATTCACTATATCTCTTGGAATGGTTATGATAAAACATTCTAGTTGCCAATTTGGCAACTAATTTTCAGAGTTTGGTCACCAAAGTGAAAAATTTAGTTGCATTGGCGCCTATATTAGATGCAATTTCATGCCCTGCTCTTTCTAATTCTCCAGATCTACCCCAGTTGGATTCTTTTATTTCAAATTCAACTCATCATCTTCCTCATGAAATATATTTCTTTTACTCTTGTCTCAGCATGAATCTGGTGGAAATGTGTCTCAATGTCATTTCTCTAATAATGGTGAGTGGTTTTGCAGTTGTCTCTCACTCATAACAAACAAATAAGGTGTTTCTTTATCCAGTGATAAAGCTCCAAATTTTCCATAACCATACCCTTTGAACCCTACCAATCAGTATGCACACTCTCCGTACTGTTGTCTATACATTTCCTGATGTACTTGTAAGGAGGATTAATTTTTTTGAAAATCAAGAATGTGTTCAGTTTTTGATCATATTCTGAATTCTCATGACCTTAATATGTGATTAAGGGGTGATATTGTAAGGAGAACTTAGATGCTAATAACTCCAAGGGGTTAAGAAACTGAGGAGAAAGGGGGGTGCTTACCGAGAGGTGCTTATTTGCTATACTGGCAATGGGATGGAGGCAATTTTGGGGGGAAAAGTTACATACTTGAATTTTTTTTCTTTTTCTAGTATAACAGGGGAAAAGTTGGACTATCAGTGTTGGTTGCCTTCATGGTGAGCACAATGACATTTTCCAAAACAGTATTCTACTTCCTCGTCTCTAGTGAGTTGTGTGGTGGACAACACTTTGTGAACCACAATGACTGGAAGTCTGCAGTGTTTTTATACATTATTCCAAATGGTATCTGGATACTTGTTCCCTTTCTCTGTATGGTGACCTTAGGAAATATCATAGTAGATTGTGCAGGAAATGGACAACCAACAGGGAAGAAAACAAAATCTTATTAAGTAGGAATTTTTAAATTGATCATATCATTGATTTGTGTGGTAATTCTTTATTAACCATTTACTCCCAAGATCTGCTTATCAATTCTCACCTCTACCTGCTACATACTTCTTAGTAAATCAGTTTCAAGAATTTGGTGTTAGATCAAGATAACAACATATACCTGATTAGTTTGAGTATTCTTATCACCTGTTTGCTGGATAATGTATGGCTATTAAAGGGAGAAGTTACATTTTAATCACTGCTGGGAGTTAAAGAGTTAAACATGGTGGAACCCTGAACAAAGGTAACAGGGAAAGTTAATGAAAACTTTTCATAGCCACAACAGATTGTATCCCATTAGTAAAGGTGAACTCTGACCTGAGGTGTCTAATGGAAAAGGTTGCATTGTATAAGGGCAAACAACATTCCCCTAACTTGGAAAGTAAGGAATAGGCCTTTGTTTGTAACCAATGTTCAGAAGAATAAGCATGTGCACAGCATAAGCTTAGAGATTTTGGGGAAAAGGTCTGTGAGTGCTCCCAATAGGAGTCCACAGCACAACCTGCCAATTAGTACTATGGAAAATCTACAACTAGAGCTACACAAGAATCATGGCAGGCTAGGCTGTTTCACCAGGTCAAAAGTGACAAACTTCCTGCCTAATGCTGGGACAGGAATGTCGAAATGTAATGCTTCTGCACAATGAGGATGTTAAATTTATGTGCTAGAGTACTTGGCCTGGTTGTATGAAGGGCCAATAAAGCTATCCAACACAAAATAAATAAATGAATAAATCTCTATCCAACTGATAAGTGATGGCAAAATGTATAGCATTACCCACGGGATAGAGATTTATCCTGTGGATGGCATTATCCGACCTTCAATCAACCAGGACCTTATATATTGGGGGTTAATAGGATAAGTCGATAATAAATAGGAACATCATCGTTTGTCAATACCATTCCTTTTTGGCATACAGGGGAAAGAAATTTGTTAAGAAATTTGCAAAGTAAATGTACTTGAAGTTCACATTAAATGACAAGTATGCTTTACTGCTTCAACAGTTGACACCATTTTGTAGTCATGCTATATTACTAGCACTATTAATGTTCATGAGCTGTTTTCAAATTGTAAAATTAACTTAATTTAGTGTATGTTTAAGCACTCAAGACAAAGGTTTCTTTTTTTGGTGAGTGACACCATAACTTATGAAGTGATAGTTGTCTTGTGATGTAAGTAAGAATCTCTTAAAACTATGGAACATCAAATACAATTACACCATGTTCACTGCTAGGCACAAAGAAATGTTCATAAATTTCATGATTTCCTCTTGTTTTAAATAATGAAAAATCAATAAATATTTTCCCTTTATTTTTTATGACAAAGTTTTCACTCTACAGATATACATCTTAGTTTGTTAAATTAATGATCGGTATATCAGCCATAATGAAAGAACTCTCCCAATTAACCGATTAAGATAGATAAAAAAGCTGCAAAGTCTTTCTGCAACAACAACTTTGTTGTCTCTTGTTTATCACTGTATCACCTTGTTTTCAGATTGTCAGTAATTTTCCTGGACTGTAAGGAAAAAAATATAGTGCAGACGTGACTATTTACATTCAAAGTGACTTTGACAATGAAGAAGTTTTATCATTGTTTTCAACAATTGCAGTGGATTCAAAAGATGAGTGAACGATTGTTGTATTGGAATATATTAACAAACATTTTCCAGATTTCAGCAATGCATGGCTTCTCCCTTGTGAAATGGTTTCACACGGGACCTGTCCATTGTGAAAGCCACTGTGGGTCACGATTCTCTCGCCTGTCTTTTGTTGCTAAGCTCTGTAATTTTTGCATCAAACTTTCCCTTTCTGTTTAGGAGATAGAGAGTACAAAAGTTTGTGGTCAATTCTCATCAGTAAATCATGAGAAAAAGATTTGGTAAAAAAATATATTTGAAATTAACTTTCCAAATGAAAGTATTTGCCATCAAGATGAAGTGTGAGTCATTTGGAGGGTTACTTGGAAAAAAACAAGATTAAATTATAAAATAATAATTATAAAATTATACTAAAATTATAATTGACTTCCTAAAATTAATGTTCTTCTCCTAATTAGTTGCCTTATTTTTCCTCAGTCTATGACTATTGTTTTTTTCTAACAATCTACTATTCTTGTTTCTAAGATTTTTCTTATTTGGATAACATTTGTCATTAACAACTTTCTCATGAAAATTGAACAGTATATGAACTTTGACTTTCTCTATTTCTTTTTGTCAAGCAAATTGTTTGGCAGACTCTTACCATGTGGCTTTGCAGTTTTTAAATACTCATCCAATCTTGGAATTTCTGCATACTGGTCATTTTTAGATCTTTCCTAAAAAATGACAATAATGATCAGACCCAAGATCAGATCAACCTTGAACAAATTTTTTCAGATACAAATCATTCAACATTTACTCTAAAGCCCCTTGGGTGTCTATGTCATCCCATCCCAATGCATCCCAGATGGGGGATATTTCTATAGGAAGTTCTGTAATAATCTTCAGGGCTCCTTCAATTATAGTTATTTATAAATTGCATTATTTTCAACTTTCTTGATAAAATGCTTAGTTTATTTTGTTTGTTTGTTTGTTTTTTTAATTTTTTTTGGTTCATAAGAAGCACTTCAAACTTTGGTTTAAAAAAATTGAACTTCTTCCCTGTATTTGCTTACTGTGTGATGATAATGTCATTGGTTTTAATTACACTGACCTTAAGAACAGCAGACTTGTCAACATAATCTCTTGAGTAATGTGTTTGTCCATAAAGATGCATTTGGGGAGAATTGTAGGATACTGTAGGAACTTGAGAAGTAATAAGGAAAGAATCAAATCATTAATCAATGATCTTTACATCAAGTATGATTTTACCATTCTACTGAACAAAAATAAAAGAAACAATGGTGATGTTTATAATTAGTAATAATATTTTAAAGGCACATTGTTTATGAATGACAAACATTAAATTTGTGTCTTTAATTAAAGTCCATGTTTTGAGTTGTAATTTTTTCAACAAATAAATTCTTGTTCTGTTATATGTTGTGTTATTCCTGTGCCAATCGAGCTTTGGGGGATTTTAGTGAAGTTGTGTCTTGTGCTTGCACATTCTTGTTTCACCTTAAAAATTTGCTAAAATAAACATGGTTATGCTGCTGGAGATGGCCTCATCTTTAAGAATCTTAACCTCCACTATCTATGGAAGGAGACTAATGGACCAAAACAATTCTGTTCTTTTAAATAACAAAAGTATCTTAAGTTAATTCCACTGCTATCAAGGAAAATTATCAGAAGACAACATAATGCTTTCTCTGACCTACCTGCACCCACAGCTGGCTTATACTTGTTCCTGTTACACCCAAAACGTGTAAAGTTTGCTGATAATGTATGCCTTACAACAGGTACCTGATAACTGTACCGGGAGGTGGAGTCCAATGTATGGGGAGGTTTGTACAGAGAGGGAGTAAGATTTCCCTCAAACACAGTACAAACATTCACCCCTTTAAAAAAAAAAAAAAGACAAAAAGCTGTTATCCTTTGTCAAGAAATGCAATATTGGTTCCAAAACATTTGAAACAGATAGTAAAATTTTGTTGAGAATTAAATTAATTCAATAAACTTAGCAATTAATGATGTTGAGCAGTCTGTGTTTAAATTTAGATAAAAATTAGTTTGGTTTAACAAAAATATACTGTGGGTCATTAGCAACACAAGAAATTAAAATAATAAAACCCATGGCCAGCATATATCCTCCAAGAAATATTGTTCCCTTCTCTTTAAAACAATAAGGAGTTGGTTATCATTTTCTATTGATCCCAGGACTTTTTCTGCCAAAAACTTTTTCAAAAATATACCACAAAAAATTAAAATCAACCTCATTTACAAAATTACAGATTTTAGGCAAGAAAAGAAGGGATTAGTTACACGTAATATTTGCTGCATTTTTTCCTTGCGTTACTGCTTATATACTACCTCAGACATCCTCATGATCTGATTAAAATTTCATAACTCACCCAATTATTACATCATTTCCAGGAACAGACATAATTGACGGCAAGAAGCCATAGAGCTAATTAGAACTATTGGTTTGGCCTTACCTTGTGGAATTCCTGTGTAATCACTGTGATAAGTAGATTTAAGCTCATCTTTACACACTTCATTCATTACTTCTGGGTCAATATCTTCAGCAGGGACTGATGGAAAACGGCCTGAGAATTTCCATGTCATGAATGCCTATGGAATTGAGATCACAACAATAAATCGTGGAAAAATTGTAAGACTTACAAACTTATTTCAAGAATTTTAAGCTCGTTTTAACACTTTTGGCGAAATTTTTTTTGTTTGTACAGAATAACTCGCAAATTAATTGAAGAGTTTCCCTTCCTGTACATTTTAGTTGTTATCGAGATAAATTCTCCTATCCAAACATAATTCTGCAGGACAGTCAGACTATCAAAGTATATTTTGTTAAGCTAATCATACTGAAAAACTAGTTATTCCTAATTAGAATAGTTAAAAAACATGCTGGAAAATATGGTAGCTGCAGTTAAATCACGCAAGTTGTCTTTGTAAATATGAGTGAAAATTTTCGATTCGTAAAAAAAAAAAAAAAAGGATAGTATCATTCGCTGCGAGCAGGATTCGAACCTACGCACGGAGACCGTATTGGATTTCAAGTCCAACGCCTTAACCACTCGGCCATCGCAGCTAGACCAGTCGAAGAGGGGCTAAAGAATTTAACCAATACTTCGAAGGGTAATGGTGGACATTTATTCATTAGAGAACACCTTTAAAATGAAAATTATCACGTAAATAAGCGTTTACACTTGGTATAACCACAACTGTATTGATTTCAAATATTTCTAGCTATTTGTCACTCTTAACTTAAAGTAATCTCCCATCCCTACCTCGGAGGGGTGTGGATTATTCCTTCTGTTACCAGACCAGCTACCTGTGCGAATCCCTTCCTCTTTTTTTGTATTCTTTGCATTAAAATCAGCCTGATATGTTGTGGAGTTGTTGTTTCTTCTACTTGGAAATATCTTGGAAGTCCTTGGTCTGCGTGAAAAGAAAGAACGATAAAACTAAATGAGGTTCACATTCCGTTGCTAGGATGCCGCAAATCATACACATAAAAATGAAAATCCCTCTACCTTGCATTCTCTGCCGGCGGACCGAAAGTTGCCCCGAATTCCCTTTTATTGGTTGTCATGTAGAACAACTCCGGGTTTTTTGTATAGCTTGGTTTGCTGTTCTCGGGGAAACGAGCGCATCGTGGCGGCACGCTTCGTGGTCGCGCGGGAGATACCGGAGTCCGCGATCGAGGGGCTGTTTGCGAACAATAATAACAACAAATTAGGTTAATAAATTCTCTTTGACACTCTGAAGTTATCACTCTAAGAACTTCGCACCTCTTGAATACCACATTGCTGGATCTGGTGATACTCCAATCTTCTCCATGAGTTCTACACACCTCTCTTTATCAGCCTGAGTTCCCGAAGGAAAATACCTCGCAATGTTGTAAGCGAAGCCGGGTGTTACGACAGATTCGTCCAGCTGCAGAAAATTTGACGTGATGTAGTCAGTTTTAGTGATCAAGCCTACTGAAACTTGTCTTAAATTTAAGCTGTTTTACCTGCAAAGTTTGATCTTCGCTCCAAGCGCGCATGGGAGGATGCGGGATGGGACACCCAATTTGACGCGGCGCCATTGTTGAAGTCATAACTCGGTCGTGGTGAAAAGCGGAAGTGGTATGGAAATGTTTCAACACCGGAAGTGACGGTTTTCGCTAATTACGGCAAATAAACATTGTAATTTCCTCATCTTCGTTCTTTCCAAATTTTATTCTTAGTTTTGGATTTATGGCATGATATTAAGCTGTATCACGTCAAACGCTTGATAAAAGATAGTAGTAAACATCCGTCGAAAGTTAACTTGCATATATTTTGTCCGTCGAAACTTATAACCAACATTAATTGCTGTTTCATAATCCATAACATGATTTTCCAGTTCTCAATCAAAAAAATACCATAAAAGAAAGCAAGAAAATGGATAAAACTTCAATTTTTATTTGCACTTTGCAGCCGATGTGTTTCCGTTTTCTTCCGTCTTTGAATTAGATATTATTTCGCAGACAGCTGTGTGTATTCACGAACCTTACTTTTCATGACCTTTCCTTGGAACTTCATTTTGCAACTCTTATCAAACCATACAAGTTTCTTTAAAAGCCTTTGCAGTTAATTGTAGAGATAAAGATACTTTCTGACTCTAACAGAAGCTATAGAACTACTTGAAGCACGACTTACACGTTGCTATGCAAATTGTGCAGGTGTAATTAAAGAGATCTCGCGCTTATACAGGGAAAAAGTGCGGAAAATGCTTTTGTTTGTACTTACTTTGGGCAAAACGCATGTACGCGAATCTTTCACTTGTGTCATGCTCGCTCCGCAAAGAACAGAAAGAGCCAAAAAACTCTTTGAATCGTGTCAAGAATGTTTGGGTTTGAAAAGAAGCCAGCTATATCACTATGCAGAGCGGTTGACCGCAGAGACAGTAGAATCTGATTGGCTTAGACATCCATACAGACTGTGGGAAGCTGCTTCTTTAGTCCGGCGTAATTAAGTGTAATATTTATAGAATGTTTATCAAGAAACCCGCTGTTAGTATTGTAACGAAATGCAAAAGAAATTCGGCAAGGACGTTTCTTTAATCATCTGGAAGGAATAAAATAAGTCTTTTACAGTACAAAATATGTAATTTTATGCTTGCTGAGTATGAATGTATTATGTAAACGCCAAAATGACGAACATACCTGCTAAATAATTAGCTTGTGGCAAACAATTATTCCGCCTCCTTTCATAGGAAAATGAAGCTTCATCAATAGTGAGAAATAAAAGAGAATTGAAAAAATTATGTAAAATGATCCAAGCCCTATGCATCTCTTTATAGGAGAGGAAGTAGCGCAAGACCGCTATCAGAAGGGGTAGGGGAAGGGAGGGCGTGTAGAGCAGAAAAAACTATGAGTCGTCATGAATAGAGCAATTAAATTTTCTTTCAAGCCATCAAATGCAAATCTTTTGTGTGTAGGGGGGCCACAAAACACAGAGTTATGATTAAATGTCACTTCTTTTGTTGCAGGTTGGAAGACTCTGATGTGCTCAACTGTTGTCAGGGGGAGACAGTGGAGGGGATAAATGAAATAGAAAGGGGGTTGAGTGGAACAGAGGAGGGTTAGATGAAAGACATACACAAAATTAGTGTAGGAGTAAGCCTTGTTATAAAGAAAGAATAGGGAAGGAATTTAACCTACTCTACACCTTCTTCAAGCTGACCAAAAAAATCCTCAACCCCCTCCTGGCAAAATCATCTGTGAAACCATCTCTATTTTTTCAGCTCCAATTCATTTGCATAATTTGATTTTTTTTTGTTTATTTGCTTTTTCTTTCTTCCCACCCACTTTTAAATTTTAAAGGTCTCTCTTGAGTGTGCACAATTTTGGTATGGATATTTTTCAGAGGAAGTGACCATGAAACAGACATCTGGAGACCAGCCTTTTAAATAAAATAATACTGGTAACAGCCTTTTAAACAAAAGCCAAAAGAGATGCTAAATTTTCCTTCAGATTTTTTAAAATGATATTTTATTTTATTTTCACGCAAAGCATCTTCAAACTGCCCTAAATTCACCATAGGTGATTAACAAGAAACTTCCCTCTACAACATTAAATGTAATACATTGTTTAGCAGTAATAGGTTGTGAGAATAGGCAAACTTATCAGTGATAGACTATCTTCTTGTCACATCAAATTTCCTTCCTAAAATTTTCAAGGAACTGCGTAACAGCTAGAAGTCAGAACTATGGATGACATTCGCAGTAAAAAGTTCAACAAGACAAACAAATGGCTGCTTTCAGCAACTACAAAGATACACTGGGACTCTGCTAACCCTTCAATTCCCTTAAGTGACCACGACTGAATTTCTCCTTACAACATCAATAAAATATCAATCTTAAAAGTGATGAGAATAAAGAAAAATATCAATAATGGGATTACTCAACTAGTTGATCCAATACCAAGTTCTCTGAACTAACATCATAAGAATTATATAGCAAATGGTAAGGAGAATTACCCATGAGACCTTGGGAGTGAAAGGGTTAAAGTTCCTTTACACATACACACACAAAAAGGAAACATGTAGAAACATGGATTCCCACATGCATTACCTTCAATAGAAATGTTTACTGGTAACTGTACATCACAGCATCTGAGTAAATTTTGAATTTTACTTGTAAATATTAACTGAGCACTTCTCAATTTTCTCTATTATCTCAGGGGAACAATGAAATAGTTCATAGAATAGAGTTTTGACTTGCAATTATTCCCCTTTGTCATTTAAGTCTGCATTTATAGCTTAATATCATTGATATCTTGGTAAAATATATTTAACTTGAATTGACTCAATGCAAAGATGTAAAAGTATTTTTTGAGCAATGTTACATCTTACTATGATTCTGATGAGCTGTCACCAACATCATCATAAAAAAAATTGACTTCCACTTCTGTAAGAAAATTTAAAAAATGAACTCAACCTCAAGCAAAAATTTAAACTTTTCATTGAGATAAATTTAACAATAAGTTGAGAAACTTTTGAAATGAATTTAGTGATAAGTTTTGAACAAAGAAAATGGCTTTTTTTTCCCTAAGCACATTTCATACATTGTTTAATGACTGAATAAAAGCTTTCAATCTGCAGCATCTGTAACAATGACTATTGATAATGTGTTACAATTCTATATTCACAACTGAAAAAATGGCAAAGCTATTTTTGGTCTCAAAGTTGCAATAATTCTTAACTCTTTGTTGGTCTTTTTTGTTGATAATTCAGTCATTATTACTATTTATCTACTTTTTGTCAAAAATGTTTTACTTGGAAAACCATCATATTACCCAGCTTTTCATCTATGACAGTTTTAAAGACCAGTACACAGCTTGGCCCAATTTCTATCCTTTTCTTAAGTCTGATCTTCAGTAAGGCTCATTTTCTAAACAGCTGCTGGCAATCAACCCAGGGCATAGTGCTGACTTCAAATAACTAACATGTTACCATTGCATTAAATTCATGGAGTACTGCAAATGAAAAAAGTATCTGACGACTAACCCTTGAGTGGGGTAGGGTCAAGCAACAGCTATTTACTAATTGCTCACTTAGGCGAGGCTCCCTGAAAAGAGCACAATTACTAATTAAAATAATTGCAGTGTGCTCAAACAGTTTGACCAGTGTAACAGTACTATGGCTCTATATGGGCTTTGCCTGACTTTGATGAGTACTTCCAGTAGCAGTAGAGGATGCAGTTTCTGGTTCCATTCTATGATGATCAAAGTCCAGGTTCCTTGGACAAAAGTATTTCCATCCATAATAGCAGACAAGGCAGAGAAGGTAAGCAAGTGGGACATAAGCCAAGACATTGACAATTTTCTCTAGCCCTCTCTGAACAGATAATGAGGCATCACTGATGATGCTTGAGCTAAATATGACAACAAAACACAAGTTTGTGAGAAGCACAGCATCAAGAGTATTCAACCAGTCATAATCTGCATTGCCATTCCTGTTACTCTTGTATGGCCGAAGGTAGAGGCATGTCACCACAATTAAGACACAGGAAACCTCTAAGATGGATCTCTTCAAAGGTGAGAACGGAACAAACAGAGCAATAAACAAGATGTAAATGCGGCAGAGGAAATAAAATGCCGCAAACCACCTGTATTCATCTTTGAAGCACTGTTGGAAGGTGTCGAAAAATAACCTGAAATTCTTTAAAAATCTAAAATGCCGCATGAACCAGGGAGTGAATAAAAGAACCAATGGTACAAATGCAATGAAAAGGATGAACCACAAGCAAGCAATGATAGTGAATGGCAAGTGTTCCTTCCAATTTGTTATGAAGTCAATGTTACCATCTGCATAGAGCACCCATCTTCCTTGTATGGGAACATAGTGAATGATGTTGCACGAAATCATTGTAATATTCGTATAGCAGAGAACTAGTAGAGTGCACAAGGCTTGCGAGACATTCCTATTTATGTAGCATGTAGGGCGGCACTTTGCAATCTTGGCCAAAATAAGAAGTAGCAGAAGAACATATGAAGGAAGGATGTAATTAATACCAAGTTTTTGAAGGTTGGTCATTCCATGAAACAGACAAGTGCCAAAGCCTTTCATTCTTAAATTGGCGATGCCAATGACAAATTTAATAAAACAGTTAAGGTTTTGTCCCTCTTGAAGAAGAAATGTAATTACTTGGTAGGAATACAACCAAGTATTGAGATATGTTGTAAAGATGTCCAACTGGATACGCAGTACCATCAATACCAAGAATAGTGTCACTATGAAAAATACCACAAGAAGCCACAGATGGTTGTTGTCACACTTTTCTGTACAGATTTCATTTCCTAAGTTTACAGAGAAGTTGTTTTTGCATGCCCCACAAAGAACACTTGATCCATTGCGGCCTTTAACACATAGAGTGTTGGGGTTGTATTGAAAGTTTGGATCACGTTTAGTAAAATCACAGTAATCTGGTGGACAAGGGTATGTGCTGAACTCGTTTTTCTTTTCTTTTCTTATTGTTCCACCCCAGTATCCTCTTTTTAAGAACACAAATTTGAAATCATCACTGCAATGTGAAATACCAAGCTGTTTCAAACATGTACAACTGTATTCACCACTCTTCTGTTTCAAGCCAAGGTGACAAAAATGTAATTGCAATGGCTTAGAGGAAAATTGCACAACCCGACCTGCAACTGTGCTGGCTTGCACTTTGAACTTGCTCTGCACCTTTCCCAAAAGGTGTAGATTGTTAATTTTGGTTGAATTACCTTGAATAAGAAACAGGTTTGAAGTGGTACCAAGTTTCACAGTACGATCATTGTTGTCAGTGATGATTAAGTTGACAATTCCTAACACTGAGCTATTTTTTTCATCAATAAGTTCCACAGAAGCATTAAAAACCTCACTGGGAGAAACCCCCCATTCACTTTCAATGAGTTTTATTTTCACAGGATCAGTAGAAATCTGTTCTTTGGCGCTTATATCAGGATCTTGATACTCAATAACATTGTGCCACTGAAGAGATTCGTTATTTATACGAGGTTGTCCGGCTTGGCGACATCCTTGGAGAGTTGATGCATAAACAGATTTCCCGCCGCCACTTTGCAAAGCATTATTCCCCTTGAAAATTACCCTGGTTTTCCATTTATTGACTCCCTCCAGACTGAAGGTGTTGTTGAAGGCAATAAAACATGGCCGTGTATTCAGCTCAGTTGTGTTAAATGCCACAACAGGTGGACCAGAATCTCTAACGTAGATTGCTCCTCCTTGCTGCAGTGCAACATTGTCAAAAAATTTAAGGTTACTGTCCGGCATAAGCATTATAACTGAAGTGCCATACAATCCTAATGCACCACCCTGTCCTCCTGTATTGTTTCGGAAGGTAACATTACCAACAACATGCAGCATAACATTCTCAGTAACCACTGCAGTGTTGTTATTAGACTCAATGTTCACAACTCCCTGAAAGATGACAGGGACTGAGTATGAATAAATTGCTCCTTGACCAATGACATCTCCATCTTCTGTTAATACAATTCGATTATTGGTGATATTGCAGTCTTCAAGAATGATGCTGTGAACAAGCCTGGGTCCTTTTGAAGTCAAATCCTGACTGCCAATAATAAGTGCCTCACCTGCAAGGCCGATAGCAGAACCCATTGTTGCAGTGTTATTGGTCCAGTGACACTTTGTGAATTGAATATTGAGGCTTTTGTCATTCTCTACTTTTAACAAAGAGCCAATTCCATGATGTGAGACTCCGCCACCAAGAACTGCGCTGTTACTTGTAAACAAACAGCCCTTGTTCATCACTTGGTTTGGAAGTAACTGCCGATGGTTACTATGTGCTATTGTCCCACTTCTGATGGCTCCGCCTGCGTAGGTAGCATTATTATTTGTAAAATTGCAATTATTTATTTCTAAAGTGTTGTTCTGCACCTTATCTTGAAACTCAACGAAAATTCCCCCTCCCCAAAGGGCATAGTTGTCTTCAAAATGACAGTGAGTTATCTGAATGACGTTATTTTGTGCCACACCTTTCACAAATATTGACAACCCTCCTCCCCTTCCAAAGGGAATATGATCATTCCCATGAGGGTTGTCAATAAAAGTTGAAAACTTCTGATCTTTCGCAAGGTTATCTCTGAATGTGCAATAGTGAAAGATGTAAGTGCTGTTACTATCAAATGTACGCGGTGTCTTCGTTAAATCGGAAGGAAATGCTGACATACTGGTTTCGCTTTTGAAGGTAAACTCGATATAAACACCACCTCCAGCAACTGCTATATCCTCCGGTGTGGAATTGAGTGGTTGATTGCTTTCAAACCGGGAATACGAGATGCGAACTTCACCTCCTACATCATACATATTCAAGCCAATCCCAGGACTTTGAACAATACTGAAGTTATTTACGATCACGTCCTTGCAGTCAGAGAGATAAACAGCCGAGAGGAATGGTATGCGAGCATACTTTTTAAACGCATCACCAGTTGTGCTGTTATGCAAACCTCCACAACCACGTAGCAAAATTCTTTCCAACGTGATGTTTTCGCTCCCTACGAAAGAAAGACTTCCGTTTTGAAAACAATCAACAGATACAGCTTCTTCGTCTCCAATTAATCCAATCTCTCGTAAGCCAGTAAAGTTGAAATGTTCCGTTAGGTTATAAGAATACTCCTCTGATCGTAGCCGCACAAAAGTCGAATTGGACATATGTTTCAAAGCGTAGTTCAAAGTTTGACAAGGAACTGTAGTTTCATTCCAACACGTGCTGTTGTCTGTTCCATTGACTCGAGAAACCACAATTATCTTCAAATCTGCACGCAGCGAGAGAGAAGGAGATCCAGATAAAATGGAGACACCGAGTAAAAGCGAAACAAAGTAAAACAAATGCATTGTGGCTCTGGTCGCTCCCTTTCTCAATGCGCAAAATAACATGAGACTTTGGCCTTCACCAGTCGAACTACTTCCGTTCTAAGATCACATGTAATCATAGCTGAGGAGCCGCCCCGGAATAGGCCAGTGGTAATCTCCCCTCCTCCCCCACCCCGACCTGTACCCGGCGTTCCTGAGTACAGATAGTCACGAATACAGAGACAAAGCTTTGAAAAAAGAGTGCTTCTTCGTGGTCACTCACCGGGAAACCGTCAGAAGTTTTATAAATAACAAGTTCTAATCAGGTAACATAATAAAGTCGTGCAAAGTGAGCGATTAGTGTCTTTTTCTAAACTCACTTTCTAGAGGGCCTGGATGGGGTCAACTGAAAACTGACAAATGGCCAAAATTTTAACTGCCGACCAACAAATCGCTGAAAATCTAACTGACAGCTGACATTTGTGGTGGGCTTTTACTGACAACTGACAATAGACCGGATCACCCTAAATATCTAAATATCTTAAAAATTGGATGTGAAACAGAGACATTGATTTATTTTGTCCAATAGAAGTACGTTTTTTATCATATATCAGTAGGAGTACACCAGAGTGTCATATTTCGTTTATAATTACCGCATGGACCATCCACATTCATATGTCACATATTGGTTATATGATCTTTGATACCCAACTCGATCGTCAACTTACACGAAGGCCAGGCGGCGTCGCGACGGCCGAATTGATTCGGAAACGGCATTTGAGCGTCACAGAAGCCGCATTCCTATCAATGTTGTAAACACTGTACTGGCGCTGAAAAAGAGATTAACCCCGAGAATTGCTATGAAAGAATTTGTGGAGAAGTATCGTCCGTTGAGGCAAAGGACAGTATGGATAAGGCAAGGGCTTCACCACCGGCCATCTACATGAAGCAATTGTTAGCGGGACTAGCGAATGGTTTTAACTCTGGAGATCAGCCAGTAGGGGCTCAGCAGCGACAAAGGAACCGTTCAAGCTACTTCGGAAAGTGGGAATGTGACAGATGTCACATTTGTTGACGACTGTATCGCTGAAGTGGCAGTTACTGAGGTGCGAACAGATGCAGACGAATATGACGCGGACTCAGAAAACGACTTTTCTGACCGAAAGAGAATGAAGATATTACCCCAATTACAGTTTCTAGATCTGGGTGGGCAATTTTCGCCCAGTTTCGTTTGGATTTCTAAGGTACCCTGACAGTAGATATCTCTAATAACCTAACTGAAAAGTTGACAAAAGAACATTCCTTTCCGATCATTTCATTAGGGCCAATCACAATTGACGCATCGTAAAACAAAACATAAAACAAATATATTGTGCTAGAGGACTCTTCACGAGTTTTTTGTCTTTCCGACAATCCTCTTTCCAACATTTTGACCGGCTAAGTGGTTGAAAAGGGAATGTTTCAATGTGGCGCACGGGCAAACAGAAGTTTGTGTGCAAAAGAGTCGTTACTTGTTTGAACACCCTTCAAACAAAGACTGAAAGTCACTTGGAAAATCTCGGAATTATTTCATTCGAGGATGGAAAAAAAAAAGTTCTTATTTTCAACTTAATTTTCGAGTTTACGCTATATGTGCCTTTCTTGCCAAAAGTAGGATCGGGAAGTAATAAGTAACTCAACAAGTTAATTATTGACAGTCATTTAACTGAGAACTGACAAATGACCAAAAATCTATCTGAGAACTGAGAAATAGCCGAAATTTTAACTGACAACTGGCATTTGTAACCCCGCCCCCCATCCAGACCCTCTTTCCAGACTCCTGGAAAAGTGAACAAGGGATACTAAGTTTTCACCAGCTCTCCCTCCCTCTCTAAATAACAAATTATCCCTTCGGTCAAAACCTTGGATAATAGATAGGGGTATGTTCTCTTTTATTCTAAGAACATCTTAAGCTCGTGTTTAAGCTAATTAAGCCTGAAAGACTTATCTTTCGTCACCCCAACCGACCAAACTGATTTATGAGTTTTCGGGGCAACAAGAGGTCATAGGAAATACATTTGAATAGCGCAGCTGAGCAAGGTTGGCACAATCATGTCACTGGTTGGCCTCAGTTCCTTCGGTGGTACTAGCGTGATATGGGTAGAGTCTGCCAATTAATCTGATTTAACAGGAAAAGCCATAATAAAAATGCAATTCTCACTGGACGAATATGTGTAAAATTCGAGTCTATAGTAAGAGATTTACTAATCTCGTACCCAGATTCTACCGTAGAACTAATATGTAAACTAACTAAATCTTACCCCGGGAGGTCTGGGTTCGAGATACCTACAAAAATAACTGGCATCGGTCATATCACTCTTAGGGAATATGAAAAATGGGCAGTCTAAAACTGCATGTGGCTACTGATATAGCGCAAGCTATATGGCACTGAACACAAATGAAGGTTTTATAATGACACTAGAAGATAATATTGCAGAAGATGTGTATTCTCACTGCCGCATCCCACATATTTATGAGAACCCTGTTCCACAGGAGAAAGATGATTCAAGAACGTATTGACTGATTGACATTCAACCAATAATTGAATGATAACAAAGAATTATATCAACGATAATAATGATAACAATAATAATGTAATAATAATTTAAGAGGCTAGCTCGAAAGCCTCATGGTTCCCCTATCCTCTGGGCTCTAACAATGATAGACATGTTTCTTTTAATTTCGCCTGTTAATTGTGAAAAAAAAGAGTCCCTATTTTATCGCAATTTCAGTTCCTTGAGACTTTTGTTTCACACAATAAGGCATTCCTCAATATTCCGCCGTTCCAGTAAAAAATTTCTCTTTTCAAAGAAGACAATATCCTCGAGGCTTCCAAGATGTGCAAATCGCATCTATTAACAAAATTTTGCAAGGAAAAGTGTTGATTTAAATTACGTGTCGGTGAATACTACCATGAAATAATTTTGAGATTTTCATCGTCTCTGTTAGTGTCACGGGAAGAATTAAAAAGATGAAAACTTCGAATCTAAATAATTCGCTTATTTAAACGGCAAATAGTGAAATACTTTCCCTTCAAAGAAAAAAATTTCATATCGGTTTCATGGTGCGCCGATCACACCTATTAAGATATTTCTGCAAGGAAATTTTTTTTTTCAATCGCACGCAATCTTGAAATGATTTGAGATGTTTATCATCTTCTACTGTCTTCTGTATTGTCATGGAAAGAGCTGAAAACATGACGCGCCAGTGGCTGTAAGCCTAAAATCACCCAACGCAGGAGCCCATGGGCTCCTTCTCAAGGAAAGAACTGAAATGTGTACCGGTTGAGAATGTCGAACCAACAAGATACCACCCTCCCTCCCCCCCAAAAAAAAAACAAAAAAAGAAGAAGAAGCACCGGAAAATATTGGGTCAGATTTGGGTCAAGATCGGAATTCTGTTGTTACTTATCATCACTCACTCACTCACTCACCGTGAGTCATTCCCGTAACATAATGGCTGCGTCTCCTATTATATACCAGGCAGTAGCCACAATAAGATCAAGGATGATAACATGTGTTAGTGGCTATAGCCCGGAGATCACAAAAGGAGAGAACTTAACTATGCATCGAGAGCGAATGTCGAACTCCTAAGATACTCCAAATGAAACAACAAGTAGCACCGGGAAATCATGGGTCAAAATTGGAACAAGATCGGAATTCTATTGCTACTATCACTCACTCAGTCATCTCGACGGTATATGTGGCTTCGCCTCCTGGAGAAGGCAGTAACCACAAAAATGTGTTCGAAGTCAGAGAGATCTAACAGGGACGAAGAGAACATATTCCCAAAGTCTTTTCAACCGATCCAATAGCCCTTTTATAAAAACTAATTTGATAAGTTTAAAACACTTCTTCAGAATTTCTGAATCAGCCGTTTTTGTTCGCTTTTTGTTTGCCCAAATTCGAGAGCGCCCACCCAACCGTAGCTTCGATTGCTCCCGCTCAAGAGAAAGAAACGCGGGCTCTTTTTCAGATCTGCGGTTGGTCGTCGAGCCAAACTCGGCCAAACATAACAACAAAAGGGACTAAATCACGTGTTTCCTCTGACGCAGTTTTTAGTAGAAGGTGAAGTAAGGACGATTCCTATTTCCGTGTTATAACTATGTCAATAAGGGGGTAAGTTTTAAAGAAACTGTGGTGCCACGTAGGTGGGAGAATATTAGAGGGTAATTTAGTATTATCAACTGAGTTGATAACGTAAATTGGTCACCGTAAAGAGTTAAAAAGCTGACGTTTCGAGCGTTAGCCCTTCGTCAGAGCGATTAGAGGAATTTTGAGATGTTTGTGGGTTTATATGTTATGCATCTACTGCATAACTTGCACCTACTGCAAAAAGTTATATATTGATGAAACAGGAAGACGACTAAGTGATCGATTCCAAGAACATCTTCGCAGAAAGAAATGACAAGAACGCATCCAAACCAGTCGCTAGACACTTTAATCTCCCTAATCATTTTAAGCAGTATATGGGAATTTGCAGCCTTTCCCTACATCCAGGCAGTTCGGAAAGCTGCAAAACTCTAGAACAAAAAATTTATCTTTCAAATCGGCACTCTTAGTCCCCACGGTATCAAAGAGCGCTCTTCATTCAACTAATTTATTCTCGTTTTCTCGTCACCATACTCCCACAATTGCGTCGCTCTGCATATTAACCCACACACATCCCAAAATTCCTCCAATCGCTCGGACGAAGGGCTAACGTTCGAAACGTCAGCTTTTAAACTCTTTACGGTGGCCAATTTACGTTATCAACTCAGTAGATAATACTAATTTGCCCTGTTACAACTTCATCAGCCCGGATTCGAAGGTAAGGATTCCTTTAAGGTTGCTTTAATGACATAACCGGTTTGGCGATTGCTACTCGTTCCAGAGAACTGTGAAACGCAAATTCGTAGTGCGAGCGTAAAGATTTGGTAAAGAATCGAAATACAACACGCGCTGAACATTTTCAGCCAACATACCAAATTACGTTATGATATTTTAAAGCAAGGCAACAAACTCGACGATTCCTGACAACTTAAGTTTTTTTCTGAACAACTCCCTGAGAAAAACTCGCAATTTTGTGGTGATGTTTGCCAAAGCGTCAAGCACAGCTGTAAACTACATACCCAAGT